CCCTGTTTCTACTTAGTCTGCACTGTTCATGTTACTTCTCTTCTCTAATCCTGCTTTCTCATCCGTGGGCAGGAATGACAACTGACCTTATAGGACTGTTGCATGGATTACATGACCATACTTCATAAAACTTAAGATGCCATTGGTTATAAAATGTACCATTATTTTATCTGCCATCAGAGAGGAAGAGATGTTGACAAGATACTAGGATATGGCATTGATAGCCAGATTTCAGAGCTGGTAGAATGTGAAAAGTGGGATATCTTAAAATCAACGAAATAGGATTTAAGAGGGTATTGCATACAAGGAGTTTAACAGGGTAACCTGGTTTATTGTAGGATGGCTCAGCTGTTTGTGAAAGTAGTGAAAGATAACTTATTCATCCCAGTGTAGGGAGTTAAGCGACATATCAAACTCTGCTCAGTTATATGTGAGAGAAATTTACAGAAGAATTTTGCATTGGGTTGTAATGGGATGAGAGTCTGGCAGAAAGGCAGGCTATTGGCTGAAGGCGACAATGTCTTACTCAAGTGGATGGTCTCCACAAGGGGTTGTGAAAGAAAAGACTTCTCTAAGATTTTTTTTTAAAGCATGATGAGGATCTTAAAATGCTTGTTCCACTTAGTTTTTCCATTTGTTTTTCATAATTATCAAATGGCTGTGGCATGTAAGATTTCAGGAAACTGAAGACCCATTTGGTAGCCTGGTTCTCCAGAGGTCCAGTTCTGGCATCAGCGTGAGAGAGCTGACCATCCCTTAAGATTTTCTCGGTTTCAACACTTCACCACTCCCGGATTTTCAAAAAAGCATAAGTATGATGGATTCCCTGTATTAACTATCTAGTATTTTTATGAACTGTAAAGATCGTAAATTAGAAGCAAAACTGGGCCCTTCTTTTCTAACTCTTTTGGGGGAAATGCAAGAGCCTTGCAAAACAGTCATCTGTTACAGAAAGGCATGTTCCTGAAATACTGTGCTGAAAATGTCAGTGTGCATTCAACTTTGTTGTTTTACTTTTTTAGTTTTTAGTCTAAGAATTACAGATCCTTTGTTGTACTCAAATCTAGTTACTTGAAAGTAGATACATATTTTAGTCTCACGATATGAAATGGAATCTGGTTGAGTCCTCCCTCGATTTCCAGAACTCTAGGTCAGTCAACTTTTATCCCATGACCAAAATCCAAAGGAATGGTCCTCATACGCTATTTGGGTATTCAGTATTTAGATGAAATAATAAACACTGTAGTATTAACACAGCGGTCCCTTTTGTTTGGGGCAACTTGCTCTGAATTACGTATTTCTCGTAAGTTCTTAAAAAATGGCCTTGGTAGGCTGCCACTCGCCACATGGGAATATCCCAACTTTCCTGGAGCTACAGAGAAAAACACCCCCACACACTGGCAAACACCAATCTAAAGTTCAGGTCTTTTTATAGTAACACAGAGGCAGGCATATTAAATTATTATGCCACATTTCTGCCAGGTTTCGACTTTTTAAAAATTCCCTGTTATAAAGCAACCCAAGCAATTCCCAAGCCCTGTGGTTGGCCGAAGTTTCTGAAAGAATAATCTATACATGTTACCTAAGGCATCTCCTGACGCCCTGGGCAGGTGGGCAGGTGGGCAGGTAGGTAGATGAGATCGCCAGGCTGCAAAAGAGGGAAGACAGTCAGCAGAAAAGCAGGGACATTGTCATTCAAGGCCAAGCACACTCTGTAGCAGAGCCGGCGTTAGAGAACTCATGTGTTCCTGGTTAGGAGCCGCTGTTCGGCAGTCCTTTCTGGTTTTAATCCGACTGGGCTAGAGTCTCTCTCCCCTTTGAAGTCTCAGGGCTGCTGGGAAGGAGGATCCCGTGCTTCAGCCTTTGCCGTTCAAACTTGAACCAAAGGGATGATGAAATGTGCCTATAGCTAAGTCAAGTGGCGGAACAAAGACATGCTGTTGGTCAGTAGCTCGGTTTTCTTCCGAAGAACAGCAGTGAGCTTCAGTGATCGTTCTTGTTGAAGTATTCATGGGTCTCTGAAAACCACCCTTCAGCTTCTTCCTGCTCCCTAACTGTTAAAATGTGCTACACTGGCTTGTGTGTGTGTGATTTTGTTTATTAATTTGTTTCCTTTTCCTGAGCTGTCCTTACTTCTAGGTGTTCCACTGCCTTTGTTTAGCCAGAATCATTTTGGGGCATATTTTCGGATTCCTCTGTCTTTTCAGAATGTCAGCTATATTTCACCCCTTTTGAAATGTTTATCCTGAAACTTCCTCATTTTTAGAATCTTTCCCTTCTAATGAACAAAAGCCACGGAGAGGGTTTGCTTTCAACATTCTGAATTGTATCACCTTTCTCATTGCTGTGTATTTTTGTACACTATTAACTTTGAGAGGAATTTTAAGATACGGAGAAAGGATGCATGCCTCCCTCCCTTATCTCTAGCGTTTGTGAGGGTGGTTGTTTCCCCTAAAAATTGATCTCCATTAACTTTGATTTTTTTCTGTAGAAAACCATGTGCTGAAATAATGCTTTGCCAGATGTGAGAGTAGATCCCTCCCCCTCCAAACACACACTTAAGCCTCACTTTAGTTCTAATATGTTGGTGCATTTTTTATTCAGTCTTATGCTACATTTATTTGGTCATTGGCTTTGCTTGCAAGAACATCTTCCTTTATCTTGAGGATATACTAGTGTTTTAAAGTTAGTGCTTGTTTGTTGTTGTTGAAGCCATTTTATTTTAGTTTGTAATTTAAAATGTAGGCTGTCCCTTATATGCAGCCTGTTTTTGCCAATTTCTGATATAAATTACCCATTTGTTCATGTTTCTTGTCATCGGTGGGCCAAAGCTAACATTACATAGTATGTTATTCCCCTCTGAGTCGTGCTGGAGTCTGCAGGCCGAGGAAGGAGAAAGGGAGTCACCGGCAGTCTTGTTTCCTGTGCTGCGTGTGTAAAACCTTTCTACCCAGTGCTGCTATGGGGAGGGAGTATCTGTTTTGCAAAACTTATTTAAGCTATGATTTTTGTCTTTATTAATTAGCATGACTACACTAAGTCTGTGGGGCTGATTTCACTTTTAAACCCACATCTATGAGTTTAGAGTCCTTAGAGTCGTTCGCTTAATTGTGCTCCGAAGAGATAGCTGTGTAATTCAGGTGCTCTGACATCTGGGATGCCCGTTTCTAGACCGTCAACTTCTCTGTTGCTGCCTCGTGTTATTTTTGTTTGTTGATGTGTTTGATTTTGCTGTACATTCTAGAGGCTCCCCCCTCCCCCCCATGCCTGTCTGGCTCTCTGGCTGGCACAACTCGCCCTTTCATACATTTTGTGCTACTGTTTAAGCTCCAGGCCTCATCATTCCTGGGGTGTCCCGGCTGTCATTCTAGGGATCTAAAGAAGTCGAGGTGGGGGTTATATGTGCACAGGCACCTGGCTGCCCTCTGAGAGCCAAGACCTTTAGTTTGTTCGTTTAGTTTCTTCCAACTCACGGATTTGTCATGCAGAACATCAGGCTAAGAAGTTGGTGCACTTGGGAAGCTAGGAAAAAGGTTGGTCCTCAGGTGGGTGTGGAATAGAGGGGCAGTGTCCACATGGGGTGGCAGGGGTGTTTGTTGCCTAAAGATTCCTGGGTAGGGAGGGGGTCTCCATCTCAGAAGGGATGCTTCATACAGTGCCATTACTGATGGAGAGCATTCTTATGATTTAAAGGTCAACTCAAAGAACAAGGAGGGAGTGCTAATTCAAACACATGTCCCAAACCAAAAAATGTTAGAAGGGCATTCTAGGGCCATGGGGGCAGGAGAGAGCAGATGGTAAAACACAAGTCATTTCCATCATTAATTCCCTGGATGATCTTGGCCAGCTGATTCAAGCTTAGGTCTAGACCTTTCTGGATCTCAGATTTCTCATTTGGAGTTGTGGAGTTTGGACTAGAAGGTCTCCACACCCCCGGCTCTGAAGTTCTATTTTTTAATAAAGTTGTGGCACAACCAGCGTTTGCTTCTCAGTAGTTGATAGCAATACTGAGGGTGCCATGGGACTGAAATAAAAATGAGTTACCACGTGGATCTTTATTTTCTGCTGTAGAAACCAGAATTGGATTTTCTCACAGTCGCTCTGTGTAGCTGCTGCACGATGTATCATTCAAGTGGTTGAGTTTTCCCAATCAAATTGGCCTTTGCTGATTTGTTTGTAGACTATAAACATAGTCTTAGGCTGACCACTTGTTTGACTTAAGACCACAGAAAAATGATCCAACAATGACAAATTTCTATTTCTTCTCACCCAGTCATGCAAAAGAGCAAAGATATTAATAGAAACTAAGGGGAAAAAAGAGCTAGTCAGTGATCCAGATATTTTAAACATCTTGGTATTTGGAGGCATCTGGATAATTCACAGCTTTCTTTGTTGTTGTTGTTCATTTATCATCCAGATGTTCCCCATCATGGAAGCACTGCTCGAAACTCTATTTCAGCTAATAACCTGGAGTGGAAAGCTCCGTGTCTTTGTTTGGTTGTCCTTGGTGCTCCATCTTTCCCTCTCTCTTCTTCTAAGTACCTCTTCCTCAAAATCCCCTGGGAATGTGGCAATTTTGCCAGATGCTTAGGTGTTAGCCTTCACATTTCTTTTTTTAATCTCCATGACCGTTCTGTACCCTGTCTGCTTGAATTATAGATTGCATTTGTCAAATAATGACACATGCAATTGGATGTCTTTTAAGACCTTTGAAATTCAACTTCCTTGAATTGAGATTAAAGTGGGTATTATCTGCCCTGCTGCAGTCAAGCCCGGGATGCTTTGAGCCCTGCATAAAAGTTTTCCTAGGCTGGCACTTCTGACTTGCACAGTCTGGAGGAAAGAAAACAAGGTGCTTTTTTCTTCCAGAAGGTAGAAATGGATACCATAAAAACTACCTAAAGTGTAGTCCCCGTTAGAAAGAACTCTGAAGTCAACAGCTTTTGGAAACATGACTGTCCTTTAGAGTGTCCTGAATATGTGTTTCTTTGGGCATTCAGGAAGCATTATCAGTTGTGAGCGAGGACCAGTCGTTGTTTGAGTGTGCCTACGGGACGCCACACCTGGCTAAGACGGAGATGACCGCGTCCTCCTCCGGCGACTATGGACAGACTTCCAAGATGAGCCCACGTGTCCCTCAGCAGGACTGGCTGTCTCAACCCCCAGCCAGGGTCACCATCAAAATGGAATGTAACCCTAGCCAGGTGAACGGCTCAAGGTAAGGAGACTGCTGCCCTCCCGTTTTCCTCTCCCTTCAAACGGCAGTAACGTCAGTGGAAGTTACTGACACTTCTGCAAAGATTGTTTCAGAATGGAAAACCATTGAGCGGTAACATTGGGCAATGCTGAGAAAATGTGTTTTGCAGTGGTTTGTGTTGAGGATAGAGGTTGTAAACCCAGTAGTATATTTACCAAGAACTCTCTTTGAAGATGTGGTGTTCGATTCTATTTCCCAGGCACGCAGGCTCTGTGGGAGGGGGGCCTTGCCCACATATGGCCAAATTCATCTCTGAGGTTTTATTGCCTGGAAAATAACGATGTCTTGTGTTTCTATGAAAGGAGCGTGTCAGCCAGTGGCCGCGCAGCGCAGCATAGGTCCAAGCATTTGAATTTGCTAATGAATCTGCTTCATCTACCTGCCACCCCCACCCCGCTCTTCAATCCCAGCTGTGCTCTTCTCTTAGCTGGCTTTTTCTCATCTTAACTTGCACTCGAAGTCCAGCTCCAGTGCCTCCCGTAACTGTTAGCTTTCCTGCAAATGCACAGATAATGTGCACATAATAATAAAGCTGTCACATATGATGTGCTATCAAATGCACAAATGTCCCTGGCACTCAAAAAAATTGTATTAGATGTAATTTTGAAAAGTGAAATTAATTTCAATTATGATATAATGCCTTATGTATATTCAGGAAGAATATAAAACCTTCAGACAAAGAAAGGATAATTTATTTTAAATGTGGCGTACTCCACAGTCATAAGAACAGCTCACATTTTCTAGTACTTTACCATGTACAAAGGCCTTCTATGTCCAATAGTCCATCAACCCTCCAAGCAGCCCCCCTGAGGAGTGATTGTCCCTGCTTGATGGATGAGGAAACCTATGATCAGGTATTTTCTGTCTAACCCAAAATCTCTACTTAAAGGGAACCAGAATTTGGATTCGAACCAGGAGTGTTTGATTCCACACCCAGAGCACTTTCCACTATGTTGCAGCTATAATAGGGCCTTTTTGTTACATATATGTTTTAATGCTAAGTATGTTTATTGAAAATGTCATATTTTATAAGTACTGGAAACCGTTGCGTCAACTCCTACGATGGCATTAATGAAGGTGCCAACTCACAGTGCCTTAGAAGAAACATCAGCAGTGAGGCTGGATGTGCCAAATGGGGAGATGGGAGATGCCAGAACTTTCCTTGACTCTGGAAAGGCAGTTTGCTTCTGTGCATCTAGTTGCTTCTTGCAAAGGGAGACAGCTCTGATGTTGAATATTTCTACCATGCAGGTCCTGTAAGTGGAATTCTTGGCTCTCATCAAGAGATCAATTTCTATAGTTCTGAAAGGACCCTGGCAGGAAATGCAGTCATGGGGTCCCCAACACCAGAGTTGTGGGAAGTTAATGATTACACATTCATATTTTACCCGTGAATCCCATTCATTTGATAGAATGTTTCTGCTGGTCCTATGTATTTCTGAGACTAAGAAGAATGCAGTGTGATCGGGTTCTAAAGAATGCAACACTGTTTCTGTAGAAGAGTAGTTGGGGAACTCAGCCTGGAAGCACTGAATGGATTCTGTTTTGGGTGGAGTCATATGAGCCCGTATAACCAGAGTGGTCACAGTGGAGACACTAGTTTCTAAGGCTTTTCTTCTGCAGAGGCTAATTTGTACCTGCAGGCACTACACCTGCCTGGGCCATAAGAGAGAGAGATTATGTGTGTGTGTGTGTGTGTGTGTGTGTCTGTGTGTGTGTGTGTGTGTGTCTGTGTGTGTGTGTGTGAGAGAGAGAGAGAGATTGGGGAGGAGGGAACCTCAGGCAGAGGGGCACTGAGATGATCTCCAGCAGATGACGAGCAGAGTGAACCCTGCCCTGGCCTTGTTTGCAGTGTGTGGCCTGGGGCCGGCCCTGGGAGTGCCGCCTGGATTTAGCAAGCCACAGAAGGGAAAACTGAGTGAGGAGGTGAGAACAGTGTTGCATAAACAAATGTTTCTCTTGTCCTCACTGTGCTACTCCTGAATTTAAAAACGAAGTAAAATAAGTATTCTGTTTATAGAGAAGTGCAAACACCATTTTCCTTCCCGTGATAGCTGATGTTCCCGTCCCTGCCTGGTTGGGTGTGGGGCAACCTTTCCAGCCTACAATGGCTGCCCCAGGGACTCAGGACAGGGGTTCAGAGTAACCATGAGCCCCGGCCAAGGGGCTTCTGTCCCCAAGAAAGACAGGAGGGTGGCTTCCTCCAGGCCCCTGGACCCTATGAACCCGGAAGGCTCTTGGGTGGTTCTTCTCTCAGGCAGGTGAAAAGACAGGTGCTAGCCCAATGGTCTCTTTCTCAGAAATGAAATCTTTTTCAGGGGAATTGGACATTTTCTTTCAAGGTAAACATGGGAACGTTAAGAGCTTCCTCTCTGAGGCTGGCAGAATTCTAACATTGCTCAGAATGCTCCTGTCACAGACCTTAAATGCCGTTCCAGCCCTGGAAGGCAAACAGTGACGTGGTTTCAGTGTGTGGGTACTGAGGGAATACAGCCACCCCATCCTCCATGTCCTCCTGAAAATGCAGATGTCAGCCAGTCACCAAGTGTCATGTCTCCCATCCTTAAGAATGTTCTGGGAGGAGAGAGGGGTGGCAGGTATTAATCCTCTTTGTAAAAGAGATAAATACAGAGATAAATACAGCTCATTCCCGCCCCCCAGAGCGCGGTGTGTTTGCTGAAGCCGCGTGTGTGGCCTGGCCGGGTATGTCACTCGGGGCTCTCCAGAGAAATAGAACCTATAGGATATTTGAATACTGTAAGAGATCCATTGCAAGGAATTGACTCCTGCAGTTGTAGGGGCTGGCAGGTCTGAGATCTGCAGGGAAGGCTGGCGAGCTAGGAACTGGGCAGAATTTCTGTTTTACAGTCTGGAGGCAGAATTCCTGCTCTGGGCAACCTCCGTGTTTGCTCTTATGGCCGTCAACTGGTTAGACGCGGCTCACCCACATTGTCCAAAGTGATCTCCTCTAGTGAGGGTCAACTGATTGGAGACGTTAACCACATCTACCACGTACCATTGCAGCAACGCCTCGACCAGCGTTTGAGTCAGCCACTGGGAGCTGCAGACCTGCCACGCTGACGCAGGAAACTGAGCCCCACACCTGACTTCCAGGGACTCTAGACTGGTTGGTGACTGGTGGGGCCAGACTGGATGGAGAGTTAAAACTCTTCCAAACAAGTGTGCTCTGGGTGGCCGGCTCCCTGTCACCGAAGGAGCCCAGGCTGGCTGGACGGTGGGCGGTAACGGGGGTCGCGCACCAGGTCGGGGCTCTGTGACCTCCAGGAGTGTTGAAACGTGGCTGTGAGCCAGAGTCTGCTCTGCAGGACCTGACAGGCTGCCCGAGGGAGGGCCTGTGAGGAAGGGAGAGCTCCTGGGCATCAGTGGAGCTGAGACCCATCCCACCCGGAGAGGCACAGGTGGCCTAAGTGGCTGAGGGGACCACCGGGGAGCAGATCTGCAGGTTTTGCCGGCTCGTGGCATGTTCTTTACGTACGTAGGTCAGGTCCAGCTCCACCAAAAGGAGCATGGATGTGCATCCACTCTGCTTCGCTGTGGGGACCGAGAATGGGCACCTGGGTGGTGCCAGCCCTGCTGAGGCCCCGGAGGCAGAGGCAGGGGTCACGGAGCTATGGACCCTGCTGTGGAGGGTGTCACAGCAGAGCTGCTGCGGAGCAGGTGTGGCTCACTCGCCTCCACGTGAGGACGCCACCAGGAGTGCGGCTCTGGGACACTCCACCTCCCTGTGTCCTTCCAGACTCAGAGGCCCCAGGCCAGGGGTGCGGGGGAATTAGCCTGTGTTCTGGCCCCTAGCCCAGTACCCTCTTGTAATTGTCCCTGCTCTGAGCGCACGTGTAGGGGCTTCACAGGCCTCTGGAAGTCAAGTCCAAGGGGAGTTGACATAAGTCAAAAATTGGTCATTGGCTAGACCCCCAGCTCCGTGTCCCCCACTGTTCTTGCGGGTACCTCCGTGGAAGACACCCACCCACTGCAGCTTCAGTCTTGCCAGAGCATGACCCCTCCTTCCGCACAGAGCCCCGTCCTTGGGAACGGTCCTCTGTCTGTCCCTCTCCATCCATTGCCCGTGGAAGAGAAGGCCAAGTGCCTTGGGGGGGAAGAAAGGACTTAGTTCCCAACCAAATAGTGGAATTCTACAAAACTTCAGCTCTAACATGCCTAAAAGCTCCTGATGTGAAATACGAGTGGTGAAATGAGCTCTATCGCCATCATAATAGAGTTTCTTTAAAAAAATAATAAAAGAAATCCAGGAGAGAAAAGGAACCACAGCTTTATGAGCCAACAGGGAAGTCTTTGTGGGTTTGGCTTGGCCACTGCTGATCAAACAGCAGAATTCTTGCAGACCTTAATCTAATTGTGCTTTGTGTAGGCACAGGACATCATTCTCAGCTTCGGTGGCCCACAGCCACCCTGCCTCTCTCTTTCTTCCCTCCAGCCTCATGCACCAGAAACTCCCAGGCGTCCACACAGTGGAAAACTGCCAGTGTGCGGCCAAACTCAAACCAGCTGCCTTCCTGCGCCAGGCACACAGAGGGCCCTGCTCACCCTAGCGAGCTCCCTGCCAGTGCCCCTGATTTGCTGTGAGGTTCCTGAGGCGCAGCCCTCGTAGATTGGTGAGATGAGCCAAGAGATAACGCACGCTCCTGTGTGGTCTGCGATAAAACTGTCTTCCCATTAGCAGGCAGGCAGGACTGCGAGTGGAGCAGGCTGCTTTTCCTCTATCTGCGCATCCCTGGCTCGGGGGGCCAAATCTTAGGCAGTTAGTGTTGAGTGTCGCCGTCATCTTTCCACAGGTGATGGCCATTCCAGGTAGCCCACTGGAGGCTCGCTGCGGCTGGGATTTCATGAGTTTGTGCGCCGTGCCATGAGTCCTCCCCGTAGCCCAGTCCCCAAGCCACCTGGAGCCATTGGCATTGTGATTCTGTTGGGCAAGGGCTCCCTGG